CCTCTCTCTCTCTCTCTCCCCCTCTCTCTCTCTCTCTGGGCTCAAAGCCTGCCTTCTAAACGATCTGCAATTACATATACCCGGCTGCCGCTCTAACCTGCTGCTTCAACCTCTTAATAAAAATCTCAAAGTATCAAGTAAAAGTAAGAAGTAAGTGTGACTGAAAGAGGGAAAAAAGGGGGCACTGCCTGTGAGAACCTTTTGTGCCAATAATTTTTAAGTATCTTTTTTCTTTCTTTTTCTTGGGTTTTTTTGTTTGTTTGTTTGTTGTTGTTTTTTCTGGGGGTTTTTCTTTGTTTTTTTGTTTTTTTGGGGGGGCTTGGTGTCTGGAGGGCGTCATCATTAGGCCCAGCTTTTTTACTGTGTCTTTTATTTTATCTGTAGGCCTGATTGAAAATGTGCTTATTACCCAGCACTTAATGGCCGATGCACTTTCTTTTAATTCAGCCTAAACATAATATTGTCTAAATGTTATAGAACTTTTTTATTTCTAATCCTCTAATTCCACTAGGTTGACGTCACGTCCATTTACGGCAAAGATGTTCATGTGGAAAACATGCTGAGAAGTTTTAAAGACGGAAAGCTAAAGTTACAGGTAACACTGCTTCTTTTTTCATGTTCTGTCCTCAGTTTACTTTATTCGATCTTTTCTTTATTTAGTTCACGATAACAGAAGCCTATTTAAGTAGAATAGATTGGTAAACATCTGATTGACCCCCTAAAAAAACAACCAAAAAATACCCTCACCCTTTTTAAAAACAGGATAAAAGTGTATTTTGCCAAAGACGTCACGATTACCTACACAATGTGCTCGCACAGAATATGGTGTAACGACAATAGAGATGTACCTTTGCTTGCGAAAGACTCATAGTCGATTCTCGTTTGAGGGATATCTATTTTACCTACTATTTCTGTCGTTCTTCTGTATCACACTCGGCCTGAGTGAGTGACCGACAAGAGCGGAACAACAAGCATCATCAAGTGGTGACATTTTATATCATAGTATTATATTATCTTGTTTTCGTGTGGAGAATGTTTATCGAACACCTCCGTCTTTCTATTTGGACGTTCTGTCCCTCTCAACCCAGGCTGACCTTGACAGGTCGGATTAAAGCAGCCTGTCCTGTCTATGCATGTATTACGGTCTAAATAGTGTCAGTGGGGCCGTAAAACATCTACAATTACATCTTCAGCACAAGTCAGCAGTTACCCATGCTAACGTTTCTGGCACGTCATGGAGTTGCACACGCCCTGACGTACCTGAGACTGCAAAACACATCGTATGGAAATAGTTTGCTTAATTTTCGTTTCTTTTTCCTTGTTCTTTTCTCATGTCTCATATTTTGGTGCCATGTTAGTTACCGTAGCTGTGGAGTATCAGTTTAGTATTAGGCCTAATTGCTCCAAATATATCTTCCCGGTCCGTAAGAAGGGTTTGAGAGACAGCCAGACAATCCATAGTTAGTTTCCTTTCTTAATTGTATATTATTATCTTATCTATTTTATCCATTCGTTAAACCTCCAAAAGGTATGGAAAGGAATAACATCGAAGGGCGTCTGTGTTGTAGCGGTTCATTAGGCGCTTCGTTGTCACTCACAGAAGACCTGATTTCGATTCCGATGTGGGAAAAATCTTTATGGAGTACACATATGTAAGGCATCATAGTGAAATCAGATGCTCGTCAAGTTGATGGAATCAAAGAAACGGGCCTTTTTTCCTCCTGTGTAGTTATTTTTGTCAAATTTAAGTTTTGGGGCCCAAAACCTTTTATGTCCGTATGAAAACACATTTCAAGGTGAATCTTACTGTAAAACGTTGATTCAGGGCACAACATATGTACATTTTCCGTTTTCAAGGATTCTTAAGCTATAGAAGTTACCAAATTTTGACGGTCATTTTCTCGCTAATTTTTCCTCAGAATATCTCGACTTCGATTAAAGATAGATGGGTATTTTATCACCAAAAGCAAGACCAAAGAACGACATTTAAGATTATACAAATAATTCTATATGCCCAAAAATTGACGAACACCTGATTCCACTGCATAGTAAAACATGTCTTTGTCTATCTTGTGGGATGTTGTTTCCCTCACAGTCCTGTTGGACCTTGTCAGGCTGGTTCGATGCCTGTTCCTTTAATGATCTAAATGGTGTTGATGGTGAGTGTGTTTGTATGGAGGTGTGTAAGATTTTTATTTGAACTCAGGAGGGGTTTCCGGGAGTTGAGGAAAGAGATGGAGGGGGGGGGGGTAAACATTTCCTTATTTTTTTTTAAAGTATACTACATTTTCTACTTGCTTCCCCAGACTTTGAACGGCGAGGAGTACCCATTGTACCTAAAAGACGCCCCTGTGGAAATGACGTACCCGGCCAGCGTACCACCAGAGCGCAGGTTCGCCCTGGGCCATCCCTTCTTCGGCCTCCTGCCGGGACTATTTCTTTACCAAACTATCTGGATGAGGGAACACAACCGTGTGTGTGACATACTGAAACAAGAGCA